ATGAAGGGCCTGGGAAGGAACAAGGAAGGGGTCATGAAGGGCCTGGGAAGGAACAAGGAAGGGGTCATGAAGGGCCTGGGAAGGAACAAGGAAGGGGTCATGAAGGGCCTGGGAAGGAACAAGGAAGGGGTCATGAAGGGCCTGGGAAGGAACAAGGAAGGGGTCATGAAGGGCCTGGGAAGGAACAAGGAAGGGGTCATGAAGGGCCTGGGAAGGAACAAGGAAGGGGTCATGAAGGGCCTGGGAAGGAACAAGGAAGGGGTCATGAAGGGCCTGGGAAGGAACAAGGAAGGGGTCATGAAGGGCCTGGGAAGGAACAAGGAAGGGGTCATGAAGGGCCTGGGAAGGAACAAGGAAGGGGTCATGAAGGGCCTGGGAAGGAACAAGGAAGGGGTCATGAAGGGCCTGGGAAGGAACAAGGAAGGGGTCATGAAGGGCCTGGGAAGGAACAAGGAAGGGGTCATGAAGGGCCTGGGAAGGAACAAGGAAGGGGTCATGAAGGGCCTGGGAAGGAACAAGGAAGGGGTCATGAAGGGACTGGGAAGGGACAATGAAGGAGTCATGAAGGGACAAGCAAGGGGTCATGAAGGTACTGGGAAGCGACAAGGAAGGGGTCATGAAGGGACGGGGAAGGGACAAGGAAGGAGTCATGAAGGGACTGGGAAGGAACCAGGAATTGATAGCGAAGGGGTCATGAAGGGACTGGGAAGGGACAAGGAAGGGGTCATGAAGGGACAGGGAAGGGACAAGGAAGGGGTCATGAAGGGACTGGGAAGGAACCAGGAATTGATAGGGAAGGGATTGGGAAGGGGTCATGAAGGGACTGGGAACACATTCACAATGCGGCCGGACCGGTCTGTGCAGCTGCAGCACAAACAAACTTTATAAATATTTGTTCTGGCCGGGAAACTGAATCCTGACAACAGGAAGCCGCCGATACAGAGGCCGGGCACACCTACTGCTGGAGAACTACAAATCCCAGCAAGACCCTGACTATGCACGCTGGGACTTCTAGTCCTTGGGCAGCTGGAGAGATGATTTTGTGTGGTGTGTCCACATGTAAGGAGCCAATAAAGTGACGATTGTGAATGTGGATCTGTACAAGTCTGTATGAACTCCGGACCTGTCACTACATACAGCAACAGCATCAGTTTCAGGAAAGTTCCCCCCTCTATCATTAAAAAGCTTTCAGCTCCAGTCCAGTGACTTTGCCTGAGATGAGGTCATCAGCCTGCTGCAGGCAGGAGGAAGCATTTCCTCAGTCTCCCCTCCCCCCAGTGATCAGTCTGCTGCAGGCAGGAGGAAGCATTACCTCAGTCTCCCCTTCCCCAGTGATCAGTCTGCTGCAGGCAGGAAGAAGCATTTCCTCAGTCTCCCCTCCCCCCAGTGATCAGTCTGCTGCAGGCAGGAGGAAGCATTACCTCCGTCTCCAATACCCCAGTGATCAGTCTGCTGCAGGCAGGAGGAAGCATTACCTCAGTCTCCCCTTCCCCAGTGATCAGTCTGCTGCAGGCAGGAAGAAGCATTTCCTCAGTCTCCCCTCCCCCCAGTGATCAGTCTGCTGCAGGCAGGAGGAAGCATTACCTCCGTCTCCAATACCCCAGTGATCAGTCTGCTGCAGGCAGGAGGAAGCATTACCTCAGTCTCCCCTTCCCCAGTGATCAGTCTGCTGCAGGCAGGAGGAAGCATTACCTCCATCTCCCCTACCCCAGTGATCAGTCTGCTGCAGGCAGGAGGAAGCATTTCCTCAGTCTCCCCTCCCCCCGGTGATCAGACTTCTGCAGGCAGGAGGAAGCATTTCCTCAGTCTCCCCTCCCCCAGTGATCAGTCTGCTGCAGGCAGGAGGAAGCATTTCCTCAGTCTCCCCTCCCCCAGTGATCAGTCTGCTGCAGGCAGGAGGAAGCATTTCCTCAGTCTCCCCTCCCCCAGTGATCAGTCTGCTGCAGGCAGGAGGAAGCATTTCCTCAGTCTCCCCTCCCCCAGTGATCAGTCTGCTGCAGGCAGGAGGAAGCATTTCCTCAGTCTCCCCTCCCCCAGTGATCAGTCTGCTGCAGGCAGGAGGAAGCATTTCCTCAGTCTCCCCTCCCCCAGTGATCAGTCTGCTGCAGGCAGGAGGAAGCATTTCCTCAGTCTCCCCTCCCCCAGTGATCAGTCTGCTGCAGGCAGGAGGAAGCATTTCCTCAGTCTCCCCTCCCCCAGTGATCAGTCTGCTGCAGGCAGGAGGAAGCATTTCCTCAGTCTCCCCTCCCCCAGTGATCAGTCTGCTGCAGGCAGGGAGGAGCATTTCCTCAGTCTCCCCTCCCCCCAGTGATCAGTCTGCTGCAGGCAGGAGGAAGCATTACCTCCGTCTCCCCTACCCCAGTGATCAGTCTGCTGCAGGCAGGAGGAAGCACTTTTAGTACAGTAAGAAAGCCAATCAGATCGGAGCTCCAGATCCGCAAATTGTTCCAGGGTGACTTGAAGCGCTGAAGCATTGGGATCAACTTGACAACCAGTTAGACTTTGGCAAAGCCGGCCTATGTATTGACGAGTTTCCACCAACGCACGCTCCGTCTCAGGACTCAGATTTGGGGTATTTAGGGACTTTCTTGCTGCATCGGATGGAGCTGACCCAAAGCAGGAAGAAAGGCGCCCCCTGTATTCCGTCCTCGGGGACACATCTGTCTGCCTGCGGTCAACCAAATATCTAAAAATGCAAAATGTCTGTAGAAACCCACTGAACCCGAATTTTGATACAAAAATGTTCCAAATAATATATAAATCAATAAATGTAAAACACATTCCAAGGAGAGCGAGAGCAGCAGTGAGCGGTCTTTACTACAGGAGGGGGCGGAGACAAGACCAGTCACCCTGCATAAGGAGAGAGCCGCAGTGAGTGGTCTTTACTACAGGAGGGGGCGGAGACAAGACCAGTCACCCTGCATAAGGAGAGAGCAGCAGTGAGCGGCCTTTATTACAGGAGGGGGCGGAGACCAGACCAGTCACCCTGCACAAGGAGAGAGAGCAGAAGTGACCCAGAGGGGAGCCCCCTGACTGCATACAAACCGTTGGGGCCCACTTACATGTGTGCAATGCGCTAATGGCGTGTGTTGCATCAGGGGAGCCTTTAAAAACAATGGGAAGAAAGAGAACCGAGATGTCCCAAGTATCGGACGGGCCACAAAGTTTTGGATGCCAATGCACTATGGTGCGCCTCAACAAGTGTGCATTGCCTTAGTGCTTCGGGGTGCCATTCAAAATGAGTGACACCGTAACATGGCAACGCATGCTGTGCGCTTTCTTTGCATAGATATTATTCGTCCCTTATGGGGGACTTGACTCATGACGCAACGCGCAGGAACGGAGACGTGTGGACGGGTCCTCAGCTCACGTTCGTGCATTTTATTTAACGATCGCGCTTTTATGTCGTTGTGAAGTTCCTCTGAACACTCAGCGCGGGAAATGGAATTGGCGTTTTCTGGCGGTATAATCGTTTAATGGCCGCCTGGGCAGATAAGAAGCCGCGACTACGACAAACAAGAATCCGGATTGTGAAATCCACACGGTGACATCATCGCATTGTCAGTCCACGGTCTCACCACTCGGTGTACACAGACATTCACCGCTATCACCGGCCCGGAGGGAATACTCATGAACAATTTACAAAAACATAAGAGTTTGGGATCCGAGGGGTGCAGGTGTGTAGCTCCTCGTGGCATCCCCTGGTGCAAGAGAACTACAAGACCCAGCAGGTCCTGTGTTCAAGTGCTGTTTCCTGAGGTGGAACTAGTGACTTAATATGCCCTACTGGTAAAGTACTGGGGGCCACCAGCAGCAGGGGGACTACAAGACCCAGCAGGTCCTTTTAGCTGGTGGTGTTGTCAGAGGTGGAATTAAAAGACCCGGTATGCCCTGCTGGTAAAGTACTTAAGGGCACGGGTGCAGAAGAACTACAAGGCCCAGCAGGTCCTGTTAGAAGACAACTCTACCTGAGGTGGAACTAAATGTCCCAGTGTGCCCTACAGGTAAAGTACTGGGAGGGGACCAGCAGCAGGTGGACTACAAGACCCAGCAGGACCTGTGTTCAAGTGTTGTTTCTTGAGGTGGAACTAATGACCCAATATGCCCTACTGGTGAAGTACTGGGGGCCACCAGCAGCAGAGGGACAACAAGACCCAGCAGGCCCTGTTTCAAGTGTTACTTCCTGTGGTCGGTCTTAACTACCCCAGTGTGCCCTGTTGGTACTGGGGTCCACCAACAGCAGGGGGACTACAAGAACCAGCAGGACCTTTTAGCTGGTGGTGTTGTCAGAGGTGGAACTAAAAGACCCGGGAAAGCCCTGTTGGTAAAGTACTTAAGGGCATTAGTGCAGAAGAACTACAAGGCCCAGCAGGTCCTGTTAGAAGACAACTCTACCTGTGGTGGAACTATAAGCCCCAGTATGCCCTGCTGGTAAAGTACTGGGAGGGCACCAACAGCAGGGGAACTATAAGACCCAGCAGACCCTGTTGGCAGGAGACATTACCTATGGTGGACCTTTATGACCTAGTATTCCCTGCTGGTAAAGAACTGGGGACCAGCAGCAGAACTACAAGGCCCAGCAGGTTCCGTTAGAAAACGGTACTACCCGTGATGGAACTAACGACCAAGCTGGTAAAGCACTGGGGGCCACCAGCACATTAACCAGGAACCCAAGCGTGCCATGGAACTACAAGCCCCAGCATATACAAGACTTGTAGTTCCTCTGCCTAGCAACCCAAAAGTTTTCCCATTGACGGGGCATGGTGGGAGTTGGAGACCCTCCCAGCCTAGAGGAGGCCAGGTGAAGTGTTGGTCATGCATGCTGTGCCCTGTAGTTCCACACCAACTGAAGATATAAAAGTGGACTGCCTGCATTGGCGGTTCTGGCAGAGGCTCCCTGCTGGCAGGGCATGCTGGGATTTGTAGTATCTATAGTATTGTAGGCTGGACAGACGGACACACAAAGCATGCAATTAGTAACAATTAAAGAGGTCGCTCACCTTAAACTCCGCCGATAGCTGAGGGGTGTACTCCAGAGTCCACAGCGCCCTGACCAGAGAGGCCAGCCTCTCCGTGACTTCCCCTCTGGCCCCCTGAGCTGACGCTTCCTCTGAAGAGTCCTTGTGCACCAGCCCATTGACCCGGACTCTGCCCGGCTCCGCTCGGTACTGCTCCATCCCCAGGTATTCCGCCAGCAGGTCTGTATTGCTCAAGCACTGGACCACGGCGTTCATGAAACAGGTGTTCCCGTGGTTCTTCAGCCCCAGCACCCCGGGCACCTTGTCCTCGGAGCTCCATGAGTGCATCTCCTGGCCCCGGGGCGCCCCCTGAACCCTGCCCAGGTTGTTGTTGCCGTCTCCGCCATGAACCACCCTGATCTCCTCCTGCGGGACCCCTCGGCCAAGTTCTCCGGGGTGGTGGTTCTTGTGCCTGAAACCGCCGTCATCGTCCTCCAGGTCCCGGTTGCCCCTCTCGCCGTCTCCCAGGTGGGACAAACTGCTCAAAGTTCTCAGGACCCTTTGCATGAAATGGCCCACCGACTTCAAGGAGCGGCTCCTGAACAGTTTCTTGGACCCCTGGCTCTTGGTGGCTTTGGTCTCCTCCATGGCTTCACCTGTCACCTGCTGCTCTTCAAGTCTTTTTTGTTGTTGTTGGACCAGGAAGGAAAGCAGGACCGGCGCCGAGCTGCCTTTCTATAATGCCAGCCTCGCCGTGCCAGCCAGGAGCGTTGGCTTTATCCCAAAGGGTTGCAGAAGGAGCCTTACCTGGCTAGGAGAAGGTGAGCGAGCCATGGCCCCCTTCTCTGGGCTCAGCGGTGTCAGTTGTGCCGGCTGCTGGGAGTGAGTGTGTGGGATCCTCCGATGCTCAGCTCCACCTCCTGTCTATGAATCTTATTAGCTTTACTTTCAAAGACGAGAGGAGAGACACAGACAGGTCTGTGCAGCAGGGCGGTATGTGAAGTGGGGGGGAGGCGGAGAGGGAGGCAGGGCGCCCCCTGCTGGTGAGTGTTGGTTATAACAGCTGACACATTTCTTATACAATGTGTCACTCACAGGCTCAGCTTACTAATCAACCTGCTGCAGGCGGAGGAGGAGGGGCGACTGGATTGACAGGCGGAACAGATTCCTCATTGACACCTCGCCGGCCAGAGAGGAAAACAATGGTAAACAAATCGACAAATTGCACAATTGTTATTTTCAGAGCTCGCCGGGCTAATTAGACAGCCGAATGCTGCAATGTCTGAATGCCATCACTTCCTGAGGATCAGCATTTGTGGGGCATGTAACAAGCTTCCAGAACTTTACAGGTTTTCCACGGAGTATTGAAATCAATGCAAGCGCCTCTAAACGCATGTCAGCGCCCAGCAACGTGCATTATTATTATTATTATACAGGATTTATATAGCGCCAACAGTTTGCACAGGGCTTTGCAATATAAGGAAGACATTACAATCACAATACAATTCCAGACAAGATGGTAAGGAGGGCCCGGCCCCTGAGGGCTTACACTCTAAAAGGCATTGTGAGCAATTTGCAATGGTGGGTAATGATAGTAATGATGCGTTTACTTGCGTTATGGCACTTCGATGTGCCTCATGAGGAGCACTGAGAGGCGCTTCCATCGATCTAATGGGAAAACACGTCAACCAAAAATGCAATGATATGAGTCCAGCCTTCGGGCCCGTTCACACCAGACACAGTGCGTTCCGGGCCGCTTCCGGCAGGAACGCACTGGATCGTATCGCGGCCGCCTCAGTTTGTTGTGGAGCGGGAGGGGGGGGTGGCGGTGCGTTGAAGTGAATGTCCATCAATGCCTGTGGTCCAGTCCAGTCAGAAAAAAATGTGCTTGCAGCATTTTTTCTGACCAAACCGGACCACAGGCATTGATGTGCCACGGGTTCCCGTGCGGCCGATCGCGTTGCGGCTGGAGGGCGTGGCTACGGTGCCATTGAGTTCAATGCACCGCCACGACCCCCTTCCCGCCCCACAACAAACTGAGCCGACCACATTGTGATCCAGTGCGTTCCGGACAGAATCAGGTGATGCTTAGACCAAAGCAGCTGGGGGAGAAGAGGCTGCGGGGACTGGTCTAGCAGGAGGATCAGGGGAGTACACCTTCATTATTTTAGCCCCCTAGATTACAATGAGCACTTGACTCTTGCAGTGTGGGGTGGGGGGGGGCAAGGGTTAATTTTTAAAAGCCATAAGTCCCTATGCAAGCAGTGGGCTGGCTCATGGGAGGAGTTGTGCAAATGTGAAAATGCCTTGATGGGTGGGTGTCAGTCGGGAGGGTTGGACGTTCCTAGATAGGCTGTATTTGCATGCACACCATTCTAGGTAACGATGCTCAGCCTCCATGATGGAAAGAACTGGAATCCAATTTATGAAGGGGTGGAGCCAGAGACAGTCAGGCTGGGGAGGAAAGTGCTAGAAGATGCTGGACGTCCTCCAGTCAGGAAAGGAGGCGGGCTCTATTTGACTTGCTGCAGCTTCTAATGCAGATTGTGAGAAGCTCCCAGTGTGCAGTGATATCAGAGGAAGAGGAGATTTTAATAAATCAGCCCTGTGATTGTTTGCTTTGCAGGCTGAACTTCCCTCTGCAGCCTCTGAACCCGCTTAATAACCTATTGTTCCCAGATCCGGCAAAAACAACGGCTTCCCCCCCTCCGGAGATCAGCGTCTATGACATCACCAGGAAATCTCCACCAAGGTTTAGGAAGCCGGAGGAAGTTCCTGGCCGCCCCTCAACACCTGGGCTGCCAACCAGCGTCTTCCCTTCGACAAATCGTCTTATAAACAATGGCCGTGCTTCTAGAATAACAATTCTATTATAACCTTTCTTCATCCTTTTCCCCATCTCAGTGCCGCTGATCTCCCCCAAACTACTTCCTGTCTACATGCGCTCACCCCCTCATCCACTGCACATCATTGCTCTGGAACGGCTTCCTGACAGTGACAACATTGGACCCATTGGCCCGTGCAAGGCGTGTCAGCATGGGCGCTTCTGGTCTACAGCAGGGGGCGCAGGTGACAACGCAGATGCACAAATGGGAGACGTCGTCACCCCATAACAGGAAGAACCTGAGCGGGGACCACTATGGCAGGATCATCGGGGGGATTATTTTAATGATTAAAAAAATATATATTTCTGTTATAGAGTGAATGAGATTCTAGTGATTGGGGCTAGACGTACTTTAAATTAAAACCTGGGGGCTCATCCGGCTTTGCAAGGTGGCCCCAGAGTCATAGAGCAGCCACTTCCGGGCGCATGCCAGCTTTATCTTCAGGGGTTACCTTAAAAGCTCTCTTATGCAAATATCGACCACAATGTCTGTGGTCAATATTTGGCAAATCCCTCCCCCCATCCCTGCCACCCTATTGGCTAACGAACACAGATAAAGGCATGGAGAATAGGAGGGGGAAGGACAGATGTTACACACACACACACACACACACACACACACACACACACACATACACAGTATATGAAGTTATCAGGAAAATCTCATTGATGAGATCCCTAGATATGTGAGTCCTGTGTACGCTTTCCCTCACCTGATAACTGTGTTGGGTGGGATGATCCTTTTAAGTGGATCATCCCACTAGTACAGAGTTATACAGGAAAGGCTGCAGGAACTACAAGATCCAGCACAACCAGCCACCTTGATCTCTGACTTTTCTATGAAGGTGACATAGGTTTGGTGCCAAAAGATGACCAGTATGGAACATCTTAGCAATTCACAGCCAGCTAATGTGTAAAATGCTGATGTTCATCGCCATCTAGTGGACAAAATGTAAACACGCAGAGCTCTATAGTTCTGGACCCAGGGGTGGGCAACCTTGGCAGTCCAGCCGTGATAAAACTAGAAATTCATCATGCCTCTGCCTCTGGGAGTCATGCCTGGGTCTTTCGGGGTCCTGCAATGCTTCATGGGAGTTTCACCACAACTGGAGTGCTGAGGTTGCCCACCCCAGGTCTGGACTGTCATATGTAAATATTAGGGCGCAGGTTGTGTCAGTGAATAAAGCTCAGCAGGGAAAAAATGTAAAGGTGTTACTGCAAGGTCTACAGGGCAGTTACTCTTTATTTTGTAAATTTAGGGGTCACATCGACTTTAAACCTAAAATATGGTGTGGGTAGATGTTCAGGCAGCTGGTCCATCACAATAAGAAGAAATTACAATGTGAAGACATTTCTTGTAGCAAGCAAGCTGGCTCTGCCTCTAGATAGGCAGAGCCAGCTGTAACTCACGCAGCTGGGCGGATCCCGGCACAATTGTCTGGATCCGCTGCGGCGTCTCAGTATACGGCGAGCAGTAGCTCGCCGTATACTGAGCTTAGGGTGACGGGAGGACGCTAGTTTGTGTCCTCCCGTTACCCTAAGGAGAACTATGTGGAAAAGCCTTAACCCCATAGTTCTCCTTTTTAAAGACCGGACTGTCAGCCGAAAATCTGGGTCTAAACGTGCGAATTGTGGCCGTCAGCGACTAGTCAATGTTAGGGCAGAACGGGGGAGGGGCAAGACTGGTACAAGACAACAGAAGGGCAACAGCGCCGTGTCAGATTCCTCGCATCTCCTTTCATCATCTCGTGGGCCAACCAAGTACTGATGGGGTGGTCATAATAATCTGCCCACTCAGTGTATTATTATTCAGGATTTTTATAGCACCGGCACTTTCTGTTCTTTACAAATATTTATAAGAACAATGGAGGGATTTGTACACTTTCCGTGTCTGTGTCACACAAGAACTTTGACATTTTTGTATTAGGTCATCAAATAAAAATAATCTGGTGAGGATTCCGCAGGCAGCTTATGAAACGGTTGCGGATGTCACTGAGGAACGCGCTAAGCTCTCCGCACACAACTCATCTGACCCCCGACCTACAACTACTGAACACTGTGACCCAGTCATGTCCCTCTGATAGGAGCAGAGTCCTCCAGCAGTGCAGAGTATTTCAGGGGAGGAGAGTTATAGAGGAAGGAGCAGAGTCCTCCAGCAGAGTATTCCAGGAGAGTTATATAGAGGAAGGAGCAGAGTCCTCCAGCAGAGCAGAGTATTTCAGGAGAGGAGAGTTATAGAGGAAGGAGCAGAGTCCTCCAGCAGAGCAGAGTATTCCAGGAGAGGAGAGTTATAGAGGAAGGAGCAGAGTATTTCAGGAGAGGAGAGTTATAGGAGGAAGGAGCAGAGTCCTCCAGCAGAGCAGAGTATTCCAGGAGAGTTATATAGAGGAAGGAGCAGAGTCCTTTAGCAGAGCAGAGTATTCCAGGAGAGGAGAGTTATAGAGGAAGGAGCAGAGTCCTCCAGCAGAACAGAGTATTTCAGGACAGGAAATTAATCCTGTACAGCAAATTATTGTTGCTTCATCCCGGCCATGTCTGCGCGCACCTCACCCATATCAGGCACTATATTAAGAAACAATAAAAATATTTGTCAACATGGAGTGCGGTGATCCGCTATGACATCACGCTGAATGCAGGTGGATTGACCCAGCTAATATACATTATACATGAAACATACATTCACCTTGGGGGTGGGGCAGGACACTTACAAAGGCTGTTTGATGGTCTCATCTTGTCGCCTCGTCAGTCATTAGTCACCGCGGATCTCATTAGTAATATGCTAATGAAGATCAGGCGGTGTGTGTGTGTGTGTGTGTGTGTGTGTTATGAACGTTTTGAAAGGCTATTGAAAGGCTGCCACCTAGTGGTGAGATTTCAGATTGCACTTTCCCCCCAATCTGTCCATTTTCTTCATAATAATTAGCTATGTTTCGTTAAGATTTGGAAATGAGAGAGAGAAGCTGATTGGTTGCCATGCACAGCTGCTCCAGATTTGATTAATTCCCCTCACAGTATGTTACCGTGTTAAAGTCTATGTGAACCCTGACAATATTTTTTTTCCTTTCTTTTGTTCTAGTAAATAGAATAACATTGAAAGCGGTTTTTTTAATGTCTTTTATGTTTTATGTCTTTTATTAAGTGCAAAAAGACCCAAAGGAGAACCTGTAGGTGGCAGTATAACCCATCAGTCTAAGAATTTCGGTGTCCCTCAATGGACCCCAAGAAACGCATTTTATGGTGAGTAAAAAAAATCCTATTTTGTTTATTGTCCATTGAGGGACACTGGAATTCTTAGAATTCTTAAACTGTTGGGTTATACTGCCGCCCATGGGAGAACCTGTAGGTGCCAGTATAACCCAACAGTCTAAGAATTCTAAGAATTCCTATGTCCCTCACCGGACTCCAAGAAAATCATTTTTATATGAGTAGAAAACTCTATTGTCATTATCGTTCATTGTGGGACACAGGAATTCTTAGACTGTTGGGTCATACTGGCACCTACAGGTTCTCCCATTGGCGGCCGTGTAACCCAACAGTTTAAGAATTTCAAGAATTCCCGTGCCCCTCAATGGACTCTAAGAAAAGGATTTTATGGTGAGTACAAAAATTCTATTTTGTTTATCGTCCATTGAGGGGCACCATAATTCCTAAACTGTCTCTGACTGTCTGAGAGAGGGAGAAGAACGACTAGAGGGAGAAGAACGACTAGAGGGAGAAGAGAGAGAGGGGAGGAAGGAGAGAGAAGGGGGAAGAGCGAGGAGAGAGAGAGGGGAAGAGCAAGGAGAGGGGGAGAGAGAGGGGGAGAGAAAGAGGGGGGAAGCGAGGGGAAGAGAGAGAGAAGGAAGAGCGAGGAGAGGAGGAGGAGGAGGAGAGAGATCCATTGGCAGCTAGGCTGCTCCTCCATAGATACAGTGCAGTGGGTTAGCGTTGTCACCTTAGGACAGGAAGTGTGTTACTGGCAGGATCATCAGGTGAAAATAAAGGGTGTCCGTATCATATCATATCAGACTGATGGGATGTAAATGTTTCTCTTTAGTCATGACATCATGTTATTTTATTTCACAAGGGTTTATTATTAGATGTCTTTAAATAATACTGTTCATTAATTTTAATAAGCCCTTTTACTTCTCGTAATCTGAACAGATGACTTCTTATACGGCCGGTGATTATCTCTGTCATGTCACAGCCACACCTCGGTTCTGGAGCTATTTTTACTGTGCAATATATGTTGCCATTACATTGTCTTGACTAAGATGCTTCTCAGACTTGTGACAATGAATACTCTGCGGTCGTAC